TCTTGGGGTCAGTGTCGCACCATTCCGAGCTTCGTTTAGTGCCATACCCTTCCGACCTTTGTTCAGTGCCGCACCCTTCAGTCTCTCGTTCTTTGTCGCACCCTTCCGACCTTTGTTCAGTGCCGCACCCTTCCGACCTTCGTTCAGTGCCGCACCCTTATGTCTCTCGTTCAGTGCTGCACCCTTAAGTCTCTCGTTCAGTGCCGCACACCTTCCGACCTTCGTTCAGTGCCGTACTCTTCCGGCCGCAGAGTTTTGTTTAATGCCGCACACTCTCCACCCTCGACCTTCGTTCAGTGCTGCACCCTTCCAGTCTTCGTTGAGTGCCGCACCCTCCAGACCTTGATTCGGTTGTCGCACCCTTCCGACCTTGGTTCAATGCCGCACCCTCTTTTCTTTGATTCAGTGTCGCACCCTTCCGTCTCCCCTTCCCGTCGTTTGCCGAATGTCACCCATAGTCCCGTCCCTACCTGCAATGAACCCTTGAAACGAACCCTCTGCCTGCCTTATGTATTATCCATTCTCCGCTTTTCCTGACAGCGAATCGGGTTATTTCAAACGGCCCCCGTCTTCGTAATATGTATTAGGTATGTATTATCCATTATTTCTGTGTTTCCCTGACACACTCCCCAGAACTGGCAAAACGTTACGATGTTGTCCATCGTTACGACGGCTCCAATAAACACCACACGATTTTAAGATGTCAGTACAAGGTATCACAGTGCTGTCAAAAAGAGTTAACTCATTTAAATAAGCGCATATCCCGTTACTAACAGACACAAGCTGACAAAGCACATGAAAAATAACATCGATTTTCCCCCGTGGATGAGCGATGATTTAACGAATGCTGCATAGTTATATGTGTGTAGGAGCAAACTCTCGAACATTTGACTCCTTACTCTGCTAATTTCCGAGTATCCAGCAAACCGTTAACGACACATCAGTGGCGGCGGAACACCTTCGATGAAGGGGGGGGGGGGGCACTGCCAACTTTTGGTCCCATTCTTTCCATGCAACGCCCATAGGGCTAACCCCGTGCTCTCCCCGTTCCGCCGCCTATGCGACACATGAACAAGCGTGACAATTAACCCGCGCCCCGTCGGGTGTATATGGGGGGGGGGGGGAGCGAAACGGTCCCCTGTCCCTTTCCGTGGATACCTCCTAAAATGCTGCAGGTATCGTCACCAAACTTTCAAGACCCATCCGGACATCAATTTTACACATTGTGACAAAAAAATCCTAAGGGCTCTGATAGGTTGGCCTCAAATGACGTCGTGTTCTGCCATTTTCAACCACAAAAAAATCACGGGAAGAACTGTCAGGCTTACAGCTTTGAAGGCACAGAAAAAAAATGTCAACACATAAAAGGTGTACAATTACCAGGGCTACAAAACTGCTTTCTCGGATTTTTCAAATTTTTAGATTCAGGACTTCAAAAATTAAAAAGTAATCTCTTGGATAAAATACCCAAAAATCCCCCTCCCAAATAAATTTCGGAAAACGGAACATATGTTATAGTCCCAACCGTTTCCCATCGACATACCAAATTTGAGATCGATATCTCTTTTTTGGCCAAGTTATGGCGAATCACTTCAAAATTGATGACGTCAAATTTTCGAACTCAGTTTTTCTCATTCTAGACCACGTAGCGCAAAACAAAGACCACCATTAGACTCCCCGTGATGAGCTGCATCGATTCGAAACCCATTTTATGCACAAATATAAACATCAAAAGTTTACCTTATTTGACCTGACCTTTACCAGAACGTAATCCAAACTGACCCCAAAGATTACCTAGCCCACATAATCGCATTTGTCATGTAAAATGGACCATGAAATGCATGACAAAACACTAGTTAATGTTGTGAGTTGTGACCCTCAGTAACCTGACCTCTGTGACCAGGCCTGGTATCAGTGACCTCAACTAGCCAAATATGTGTTAGACAAACAAGTTGCAATCGATGATTTTCAATAATATGCCTTTCAATCGATTGTATAACACATTTCTTAGAATGCCTGTAAACGGTGAAAAATGCGACCTTTGACCTGGCCTGTGACGTCACCGGTTGGATCACGATCAACGAAACTGGGTCACAAGGCAGTTCTTCGGTGGGACTATATAACGCCGAACAAATCACAGCAAAACAACAATACACGAGCCAATGGCGATCTTAGTCTTTTCCCCAACTCGATGACGCGTCGGCCGCTGGAGGTGCCGACTGCCGGACGTTCCGCTACTGCGCCGGAGCTGTCACGGTCGGATCTGCTGTCCCACGAGCCGTCCCAGCGACTATCAGCTGCGCCGCGCGCTGACTCGGAGATCGGGCTGGCCGCCGCGGCCGTCAGGAGCGTGGCCGATGGTCCCGCCGGCGCGGCGGCGTCAGTGGCAATGTCCGGTCGTGCGTTGTGACATCAGCTGAAAACGTGAGAGAGAAATGTGAAGAGAGATTGAAACAGTGATAGATGGAGAAAATAGCTCTTCCCCTGGCCCCTGACTGCTGACTTACCCTTTACCTCTTACCCGTGATCCTGAGTCGTCACTATTGAATTCTGACCTCCGTTCTAGTCTGACCCCTGCCCCCTGCGCTCTGCCCCGTCTCTGACCTCTGACGTCTGCCCGGGGTCGGCGCGTGTCGTCCGAGACGTTTCCGGACACGACGCCGGCCGGTCCGGAGCGGAGCCCGGCAGAGCCGTGGCCGCGCCGCCCGCCGACCCCGGCAGAGCCGTGGCCGCGCCGCCCGCCGACCCCGGCAGAGCCGTGGCCGCGCCGCCCGCCGACCCCGGCAGAGCCGTGGCCGCGCCGCCCGCCGACCCCGGCAGAGCCGTGGCCGCGCCGCCCGCCGACCCCGGCAGAGCCGTGGCCGCGCCGCCCGCCGACCCCGGCAGAGCCGTGGCCGCGCCGCCCGCCGACCCCGGCAGAGCCGTGGCCGCGCCGCCCGCCGACCCCGCCGCCGGCCAGCAGCGACACACGACCTAACTCATCACGGTCAGAGCGGGCGGGGGAGACTGGGTGTCACAGAGGGCGACTGGGTGTCGTTATTGGTGAACCTGTCAGCCGCTGTAGACCTGTAAATGTGCTGTACTTGCTGTTAATTCGTGCTAGAACACAATACAAGATACTTCAGCGAGGGTGGTCCTTGACAGATTGATGGTTGGCTATGGGATTTGAACTTTGTTTCGATGACATTCTAAATTGCACATTTACATTTTGATGTGCCTTGGGTTTCAATTCATGTCATGTTGTCTTGTCATTTTACGTTATGTCTGCCCTGTGTCAACAACCTAGTTGTTTTGTTTTTGTCCACAGACCATTGTGAACGAGCCGGGTTTGGGACTGCTCTCGTGGTAGGCCAACCTCAGCTGACCGCCGTGACCTGACTTCAGCTGACGGCTGTGACCTGACCTGACCTCAGCTGACGGCTGACGGCCGTGACCTGACCTGACCCAGCGTGTCCCTCAGCGGTCGGCACTCAGCGGGACCTGACCTGACCGGCCAGGACACTGGGCGGCACTCCAAGAGGTCAGGTAACAACATCGTTCACGTTGGAAGTCCTGTGAAAACGTCAACTGTGAGAACATCGTGGGAAGACCTGTGAGAACATCGGCCGTGAAGTGAAAATACTTGTAAAACATGAAAACACCCGTAACATGTGAGAACATCAGCTGTAAGGACATCAGCTAACTGTGACTGTAAGAACGTCTGCTGTGAGAACATCGGCTGTGAGAACATTTGTGTATATAATTGTGAGAAGACGTGTGAGAGTATACCGAGAGTATACAGTGTGAGAGTATACAGATGTGAAAGTATACAGCTGTGAAAACATCAGCTGTGAAACCACCCCTGAGAGCATATGGAAACGCCCATGAGAACTAATATGATCATATCACAGTGCATCCTAAAGTTCTCCTATACGGAGTCCCGCTGGAATTTCCCCTCCGCGGCCCACTGTATCACTGTATTGTGGGGTTACGACAGGAGTCCTGAGAGACTGACCACTCTCAAAGGGTGGTCTGAGCCGTTTGAGTCGTGTCGTACAAACGTGTCGTACTGTTCGTGTCGTGCTGTGTTGTGCCGAACAACGAATGTGTCGTACCTAACTTAACTGTCGGAAATCTGCTTCAGGGCGAATTAAGCGGTTTTCTGCGATGTAGGTATCATGCGTTTTAAAATAGCATAATGTGTCATTGTGGGTCGTTTGGAGAGAGAGAAAGAGAGAGGGAGAGAGAGAGAGAGGAGAGAGAGAGAGAGAGAGAGAGAGAGAGAGAGAGAGAGAGAGAGAGAGAGAGAGAGAGAGAGAGAGAGAGAGAGGGCGCGAGGGGAGAGCCGAGAAAGCAATTAGTAACGTAGCTGTGGAGCGTTTCCAATAAGAGACTCCATGGCCTTTCAATGCTCTGGTAATGCACAATCCTTGGCGTCCCCTATCAGAGCAAAAATACAATTAATTTGAGCATATATGACCTTCGATAAAATCTTAAACCTTAGAGGTACACCCATAGAAAACCAAACCATATGCTATTGTGTTTTCGAGAATAGAACACGTCTTGCAAGTGATTTTCGTAAGGCCCGGAAGCATTCACGTCTGCATATATTCGGCCCCAACACCGCTGCCGCCCCGGGCTTCATGCCTGGCGCCGCCTCTGCCCGCCCCACGTGGCTGCCTGTGCCCTCCCGGCCCGGCTCACCTGACGCCGCCCCTGCGTCTGACCTGCCCACGGGCGGTGGCCGGCCGGCCGGAGCACGACTGGTCCGCCGCGCGCGCGAGCTTTTGCTACGGGCGCTCGGTGCGGGCGGGGGGCTCCCGGCGTGGTGACTGCTTCTGGAAGAAATTTGGACTTCAGTTATACGAGGTAAGCACAAGACAATTCACAATTACGACGTTACATCGCGTTATGTGTGGCGTGTATGAGCTAGGAAAGTTGTATTTTTTAATGAGTGTAAGCCCAAACGTAAGACGTGGATAAAAGTTTTGCAGCGTTGCGTGATAAGGTATCTTTATACATTATTCATCCAGTAAATTATATTGGGAATAAAAAGGATACCGTATTCAGAAGATTCCTTTCGTAAATGGAGTTTGAATTATAATTGCAGTGTCTGAAGGCGTGTAAATTCTCTCAATCATAGTTACTGTAGATTGCAGCCCTTTTGCTCCTTGGCCAGTGATATCAATTAGGCTAATCATAATGCGATACCCTCTGACCGTTTCAGTGTTTGTCCGCGGTGTGTCTGGGCGGTCTCCCGGTGCCGAGTCCCGTCCGGCGGCTGCACTGTTGACCCGGGATTCCGGTCCGTGGTCCGAACTCCGGCCACCTCGGACCTATAAACGGACTGTCTCCGAACGGTAAGGGCAAGCAGAGGGCGGTATGTTAACTCATTTATGGCCGGAATTTATCAATTTTGGTTCGTGAGGATTTTTGATTTATCAGGCCATTGTTTGTTTATCGAAGTGTTTGTTACTCAGGGTTTGTTACGCTAAAAAACAAACGATTTATCATTGGTAAACGTAGTTGAATGATTTGACAATGAGTAACTTTCGTGTTTCATAAAGTTTAATCCAGTTTGATCGGCACATGGCATGGCGCAAGGCAGCTTATTTAAGATGTCACAGCTTAACAATCCCTTCTTTTCGCTGTCATGTCATATTCCTCCAACTCTGCATGTAAAAGGCTGCCGAGCGCCGACCAATGCTCTATGTGTTATACCGGCCGGTGGTGGCCGTGCGGTGCAGCATAACTTCAGGCGTCGTACGCTAGCGACATCTATTGATGGGATTGTAACTATACGGCGCAGTATGCCTTCAGGCGCTGCACCCTAGCCACATCGTCGGGCGGGATTAACGAGGCGGGGCACTGTCAATGGACGTGTTTTGCTGTGTCCTAAAATAGGCCACTGTGTTCTCAGCAAAAGAAGGCATAATTAAAATTGTTACGATATCAAGCTAGAATACAGGAAGGCAAAGAAATTGTTACATATTTCAAATAATTAATTTTGTGTTTTTATATTTTAGTTAGATGCCGTTTTGTTATCGTAGGGGTTCGGGAAACCTGCTCCTCGCTAACCCGTGTCAGAATTAATTTTTGTTTGTTTATAACATGTTTTGCTTAAAATGCATGTTCTAAAATTTGAGTAAGCATTGAGAACAAGATATATGCTTCTCCGGGAAACATTCACACACTGGCGAGTTATCAGTCTTATGAGCCACACTTACAGCGTGTGTTGACGCCGTACCATCTCTCTCCGACAGGTGCGGCAGTACAGGAGGGAGTATGGCGCCGGTATACAGCTGACACCAGACAAACGTCCATCGGCAAGTCACCACGGAACAGACTCGAACTCCGGAATCTCCTCCTGCCCCGCATGTGGAAGAGAAGATAAGTCAAACGTTTAGCTGGTATTTATCTGCAAAAAAAAAAAAAACGTAACGTTAAATTTTGATGACTTTGCTATGATTTCGATAGTCATGCTGCCATAGGGCTGCGCTGATCCGTATAATAATTTGTTTACGTTCTTGTTCCAGGTTTACCTCACCAGAGAAGAGATGGCGGCACTGCTTCAACACACCAACACCTCAAACCAAAAGATAAGTTAATTGATGTTAATTGTTACATTTGAAATGAGCAAAATATGTCTGAAATTGACGCACATCGCGGGATTGGCATTTATTCCTTCGTACTTTTATTTCAGGTTCACCCAAAACCACTGGCTCACCGATGGTGGCCCCTGCTCCAACACACCACCGGGACCCGCCACAGGAGTCGGCTTACCAGGTGGGTCGGTGCACCGAAGGGGCACTGTATCTGTTGTGACACCAATGCATTGTTATTAGGGCTGCCCCACTTTGGACTTAGTCCTCGCGATTTCTTCAAAGTTCAAAAATATTTTCATTGCCCTCAGGTAGTGCAGGCATGCGAGCTTTCTCTGATAGACTTTGTTCTTGCCGATCGGAGGCGCAATAAGTGTTTCAGTACGGAAACGTGGCCAGATTTTAGCTAAGAAGTTAGATCAGACTACTATTTGTTTTTCGAATATTTTATCGTAAACTTGAAAATATAACCACCCATCTATCTTTTTTCGAAGTTTCCAATCCATCTTAGAAGTTGTTAGTCTGGGACGAAATATTAACCCGCGTCCTTGTGGGGGGGGGGGGTTAACATTGACCCTTTTTACCAGGTGGGGTGGGGGGGGGGGGCTATTTTTCCCCGTTCCAGACTTTTCGATATATCTCCAGAACCGCTGCGCCGATTGTCACACCAAATTTTCAGTACCCTCCCGGGCATCCATTTAACACATTGTGACCAAAATTTTACAGGCTTAAATTTTACAGTTTAACAGGCCTACAGCTTTGAAGATACTGAAAAATGTTAGACATAAAGGTGTAGAATTACCAGAGTTCCAAAATCCTATCTCGAAACTTTGAAATGTTTAGATTTAGACCCCTACAAAATAAATAAGGAAATAGACATAATAGCCAAAAAGTCCCAAAAGTTTTTAGATTTTCGAAAAAAGAAAACTTTATGTAATAGCCTCTATCAACTCCTATTCACAAACCAAATTTTAGATCGATACTTCTTTTTTTGGCCAAGTTATAGGAAACAACTGTTCAAAATTGATGACGTCAAATTTTCAAACTCAATTTTTTAGCAATTCTAGACCACGTAGCGTAAAAGAAAGACCACCATTAGACCCGCCGCGACGAGCTGCATCGAATCAATACCCTCTTTCACCCAATACCCTCAAAAACATTTCGAGGAAAACAAAGACGAAATACCAGAAATGTGAAAATAATATGGGTAAATTGACAGAAAGTGTTATGATGTGGGTTTTCTTTTAAGCTACCTATACGGTCTTACAGCGATACGGTCATCCCTCTTCTTCCTCAGCCAGTAGTTATGTAGTAGTTATGTCAGTAGTTATGCATAATATTTTTCATACGAAACTGCTGTCATACGAGTAGCCTTATCAACATTCATTTTTTTCGTAAATGTATGTTGTGTGTGTATGGGTCCCGTTCGCATTGGTGACATATTTCAGCTGCATCCCTTCAGATTTTGGTGGCGCAGTTCATATTCATGTCACGGATCGAATCTGATTCGTGGCATGAATATTAACTGTGCTACCAAAATTTGGACGGATGCAGCTGAAATAAATATATGATTGTGGTGTGCGCGGCCCCGGACTTACTGGCCCGGGGCCTATGCACATCACAACTTGCACCCGATAATCCAAGGAACAATTCTGATCACCCCCGGAAGGAGGGGGCGGTCGCTCCGCGGCGCGACCGCCCCCTGATGCCGGGCGGAGACCAGAATTGAACCCCGGACTGCCGGGTGAAAGCCTGATGTGCACCAGCCTCGCTGCCGAGGCGGCGAGGGACGGTGGTCGGACCTCGGACCCGGTGCCACTGCCCCTCCCTCCCTACCCCACTCCACTCCACCGTGTGCCTGGCCCCGCCCCTGCCGCCTGACCTGCCCCCGGGCGGTGGTCAGTCGGCCGGCCGGCCGGGCCGCCGCGCGTGCCTTTGCTACCGGCGCGTAGTGCGGTGGGGTCAAGACACTTCTGTTTGTATATGATTGTAACCAATGCACAGTGGGGATTTTCAGATCTTAATTCCTAATCTTAACCTTCGTGGGGGGTGGGGGCGTGGGGGGTTAACCCAGTGGGGGGAGGCATATGTTAACACCCCGTCGCGTTTTTTTTTTGCGTGTGAATAAAAAACCGCGGCGCGTAGCGTTGCACCGCTTGGAGTAGCTTTTTGTACAATGTGTGAAATTTTTGACCCCAGGTCATGTCACCAGGTCAAGTGAATTCACCAAGCCTAAAAAAGTTTGCAATCATGTCCAGCCTGCAGTGTGCAGTGCAGGCGCAGTGAGAGGTTTTAAACTTGGATTGCATGATGTTATGGGCGCCTATAATTTGTATATCTCTGATTTGTTCTATATCCGTGACCTAAGGTCAGGTCAGTGGCGTGACCTTTCCATTATTAAGTCAATGGAGAAAAACGAAAATGTCTCTAGATCCGTGTGTACGCATAGGAACAGTCCAAATATTTCAGAGTCACAATGATTTGGACCACCCGTGACGGCCAAGGTGTCTTTTGTGCAAGATCATCCGAGGCTATGAAACAGATTTTTGCCAATAACTCTCGATTGGAAAGAGATACCTAGAATTATTAGCTATTAACCCTCGCCCGCACATGGGGGGGGGGGTTGCCACCCCCCCCCCCCAGGTAGTCTTTCTGCTCTGCACTCGACATTTTTAGAGCTAGAAGGCTGATTTTTCGTATAGCTGCTCCTCTATCCTTTCTTGATGTCCACTGAAAATTTCAAGGTTCTGTGATTTTTGGTTTCGGAGATATGACCTTGTTTTTCAGGTCATGTCATGACCCAAATGGCCAATTCTCAACATCTTGCGTTTGCCATGGGCCTTGTGGGCTTTTGACACCCTGATTTCGGCCTTTTTTGCCAGTCTTACCTCCCACCTATCATGGAACATGTTGTTTGACGATGTACAGGGGTCAAGGTCAGGGTCAAGGTCAACCTAGGTCATATAAGATAATTGCATTTTGGGCAAGCTGAATTTACTTTTTGTGAAGTTTTTTGACTACATTTTTGGTAAAAGCTTCTCAGATCATGATTTCATGTAATATGGACCCAAAAACAATCGGTGCACACATCAGTATACACACAGACACACACAGACATACAAACACATATAATTGACCTTGACCTAACTTGACCTGAAATGACCTCAGCAGCAAAATTCTGGTCGGGTAGTGTGACAAAGAGGTTCTAGCTGGCTTGGCACCAGAAAACAGGATCGTCATCGGTATTTGATAAGCAGCGCACTTGATATCCAACGGTGACCCAAAACAGCAACATTTTTTAGTTTGACCTGACCTGGAAGGTCAATGACTGACCTGAGGAGGTAAAACTGGGTATCATTGGATTCGTCTCCCAAAGATTCTTTTTGGTCTTTACCGCTATGCTCTATCTCCAACAGGAACGAAATGGCGCGGGGGGTGGCAACCACCCCCCCCCCCCATGTGCGTTCTAGGATGGGAAAATGGCATGTGCGGGCGAGGGTTAATAGAGATACTTTTAATAGACATTAATAGAAGAGATAGAGATAGAGAGAATAGAGAAACCAGTTTTTTCACAATATTTGACCTATGGGGGCTTAACCGTTGACCTGAGGTCAATTTTGATAACGACCTTATCAACAGAAGAGTTTAAAAGCTATCGATTGTTTTTTTCATGCGTTTTTCTAGCTATCATAGTTCCTGGACAATGGCATGTTTTCTTAAAAATGTAATGACATTTGGCAAATTTTGACCTTTGATGACCCTAATATTGCTCTAAGATGAGTAATGACCGAAATACCGCAATACCGAAATACGGCAAAATTTCAAACGCCGCTAACATCTTCATTTTTAAAGGAATCAAGACGTAACAAAAAAGGTTATACGTGATTCCACGTTGTCTATCAAATGGCTATCTCGGTTTTTTGAAAATTTTGGATTTTGGCCCAAATTTTTTTCTTTCAAAAACTGATTTTTTTGGGAAAATAGTTATAAAATCCAAAATTTTGAGTGTATCAAAAAACCGGAATATATGTCAGAGAAGTGGTCAATGTGCATCTACATACCAATTTTTAGAAGAATCGGTTCAAAAATGTGGGAGTTAATCAAAATTTTATGACGTCACGACACACAAATTTTTTGAAAAATGATTTTTTTTTGGAATTTCTAGACCTAGACGCAATTTCTAGACGGAAACAAAAATAGCACCATTCGATTCGTCGTGAAAAACTGCATCAGATAGGCACCTTTTTGGGACTTAACAACCAACTTCAAAATTTGACCTCACTTGACCTGACCTCGACCTGAAATTCATCCAGAGGTGGTCCATATCACTTATTGAGTGTGCCTATTGAATTCTATGAGTAAAATGACCCATAAAACATGTGCCGCACATGTCCTTTTCTATACTTTGTTTTTGGTGACCTGACCTTGTCCTTTGAATGACATTGTATGCAACGAATATTGTCTTGGTAGCCTAAGAACACGTTTTGGGCAATCAGTCTCAGTCCATTCTTCGGCAACTACGGTGCAAGGCCGATACTGTAGAAACTTGCATTTCATACCCTTGACCTGACCTTGACCTGACTTCTGACCCACTTAAGCAAAAAATTTTGGGCTCTTAAGATCCGCCTTGTTGAGAGCATTCGATTGCCGTTTTCCCCGTCTTTCTACAACCATCGGTTCGGAAGTTAGACAGGGGGGCAGAATCTGCCCCCCCCCCCCCCAGCAGGGCGCGTATGGCTGAATAGCGCAACGGGGCGCGGGTTAAAAGAAACCCTGACGGGC